ATCTGATTCTCTGCACTTGGAGTGTTAGGTGGGGACCCTGGCAGACTCGCTGTGGGGAGCTGAACTGAAAGATTGTAGAGTTGGCAGCTGAAGCCCGTTGTAAAACCATCGGCCTTTCAAATAGATGAGAGATAGGTCTGTAGAAGCAGACCGGCACAGCAGACAGGGAGGAGCCCTCGGACTTCTAAACTCTCATGAAGGAGATGGAGAGAGTGACAGGTTCCCTGCCAGTGCATCTAACCAGGTGTGCGCTTGTATTTCATCCCCAGAAGCTCTAACCTGGTTAGTTTTTTGTCAGTTTGACATGACATAGAACCACCTGGGAAGGGAGAAGGGCAATTAAAGAATTGCCGTCAGCAGACGGATCTGTAGGAAGGCCTGTGAGGAATAGTCTCGGTTGATGAATCCTGTGGGCGGGCTCAGACCACTGTGGGCGGGCTCAGACCACTGTGGGCGGGCTCAGACCACTGTGGGCAGCACTATCCCTAGACAGGCAGGCCGGGGGCTGTATAAAACCTAGGTGGGGGACTCAAGAGATGGCTTGGATGGTGAAAAGTGGTTACTGCTCTTTCAGAGAACCTGGGTTCCTGGAATCCAATGAGCTCACGACTGCATTTGACTCCAGTGGATCCAATACCCTCTTCTGACCTCTGATGCATGTGCTGCATATACATACATATTCTCTCTCTCTCTTTCTCTCTCTCTCTCTCTCTCTCTCTCTCTCTCTCTCACACACACACACACACACACAATCATACATATAAAATAGTAAAGGAAGGAAGGAGGGGGAAGGAAGGAAGGAAGGAAGGAAAGAAGGAAGGAAGGAAGAAAAAAAGCAAGCTAGCTGAGCGTGAACCAGCAAGCAAGCCAGAAAGCAGTTCCTCTGTAGTTTCTGCGACGAATCCTGCCCTGACTTTCCTCAATAATGGACTGTGACCTGGACGTGTAAACTGAAATAAACCCTTTGCTCCCTGTGTTGCTTTTGCCCATGTTTATCAGAGCCACAGAAAAATAAACTAGAACAGAATCTACCAAAGGAACCAACATCCTCCCCTTCCCTTAGGAAGGTTTAAACGGACCACCTGGCTGTTGCCTCCACTTTCTAGCTGGAAGCCCTTTTTCTCTTGAGATATGACCTAAGCTCATCCCCAAAGGCTACTTTTAATTTATTTTTTATTTTCTATGTAGCCTGAGCTGGCCTCAAACTTTCAATCCTTCTGTTGCAGCCTCTGGAGTCCCAAAGGCTTCTAATTGTCCCCAGAACTGGCAGCCCACGGCTTGGACCCTCCCAAGCACAGGTGCTCCAGCCAGACTCTGAAGCAACCGCTTGCCCATGCATGTGTATCCGTGGCTTGTGGTGTAATGCTGCAAGTCTGGAGTGCGTGTTGGACTCAGCAAAGGAGGAAAATTCAAAATATTTTACTTAATATTTCTATAACTATGACTTTGAAATAATGTTTTGGATATGCTGAGTTAAAATGTAGAATTCAAGTTCTTTTATTAATGTTTTATTTGTTTGTTTGGGTTTTTTGTTTGGTTTGGTTTGGTTTTTTTTTTTTGTTTTGTTTCTTTGTTTTTTGTTTTTTTGGTTTTTTTCCGAGACAGGGTTTCTCTGTAGCTTTGGAGCTTTGCCTATCCTGGAATTAGTTCTTGTGGACCAGGCTGTTATTAACTTTTTAAAATATGTTTATTAAATTTTGAAAAAGAGACCAGCAAGATGGCTTAGTGAGTAAGGGCACCTGTCCCAAAGTCTGATGACCTAGAATTGATCTCCAGGACTCACGTGGTAAAGGGAGAAAATGACTCCTGCAAGTTGTTCTTTGATATCCACTTCCCAGTATGCACGCACACACACACACACACACACACACACACACGCATGCACGCGCACACATATACACACGCACACACACACATGCACACACTGAAAAAATACCTCAAAAGTTTCTAAAATGATGAAAGCTGCTGTGTTACGTGCATGTTGGACTGTGGGGATCAGGGGTGATAACCAGGTACCATGGGCTTCCAAAATGTTTCTTGCCCTCTAGCTTCTGCCCAACATCCAATTTTGCCTGTATAACCTTTTAGAAGAATGGGCCTGATTCAACCAGTTCTCCAACCTCTTTCTACAGCTCGGTTAATTCAGCTCTAACTATCTCACCTTAGAACAGAAGAAACTTCCACAAGAACCCACTACCAATCTCGTCATGTCTACATCATTTTGCCTTAAATTGACCGTCATACCCTCCAACTAAGTGTTAAAACTGAGATTTCAAAGTAGTGTCCAAGAGACAAGAGAGCTAGACAGCTCTGTGAGTTCGAGGCCAGCCTGATCTACGAGAGCTAGTTCCAGGGCAAGCACCAAAAAGACATTAATTGGAAAATTAATAAATTAATTTATTAATGATTAAATATTAAATTAAACATTAATAATTAAAATTAATAAATAAAACAATAATTGTCCAAAACTAAGCTAGGAAGGAAAGGGTTTATTTGAGCTAACACTTCCAAGTCATAGTTCATCATTGAGGAAAGTCAGGACAGGGTTTGAAGTAGAATCAATAGAGGAACACTGCTTAGTAGCTACTTGCTTTCAGGCCTGTGTTTCTGTTTTATTACCATCCTACTGCCTCCAGGTCCACCGGCCTATGGATGAACCCATCCACAGCGTGCTGGTCCACCTGTAACGATTGGCTCCCCAGGCATTGCCAACCTGAGGCAGGCAAATGTTTCAATGGAGGGCTCTCTTATGTGTGTCAACAGCCAAGCTTAGCCATCACAGAACTCCTTGACTTTGTGCCTTCTGCCTTCAGAACTATGGGAGTTGACTCATGTGCTCAAGGCCCTGGGGGACTGGGGGACGGGGGAAGACAGAACTGTGGGGGAATAAATTCCAGTTATTTTGGGGCCATCCAATTTGGAATACTTTTCCGTGGACGCTCCGAGAAACACCAAGTTCTAAGTCCTTTCTGTACCATCTCAGATACAGGTGACAAGGCACAGGGGAGCATCACACAGCTGATTGCCGTTATTCCTGGCTTTCACACTATGACACTTGCATGTGTGCAGTGTATGCATGTGTGGTGTATGCATGTGTAGTGTACATGTGTGCACTTGCCTGTACATGTGCAGGTAGAAATTAGATGTCAAATCGGCTGTCTTCCTCTGTGACTCTCTACCATATCTTTTGAGATAAGGCCTCTCGTTGGGTGTAGCCCTCACCTTTTCAGCTAGCCCAGCTTTCCAGCTAGCTGCTGAGATCTGCCTGTTTTCACCTCCGTAGTTAGGAGGTTACAGCCCAGCAAGTACTACCTGGATGTGAGTGTTCAAGAGCACTGGGGATCCGAACTCGCATCCTCATGCTTGCTTAGCAGGCATTTTACCCACTGAGCCATCTCCCCAGTCCCAATACTGTGCCTTTCCGTTTTGTTTTGCTTTGTTTCCCAAACAGAGACTCATGAAACCCAAGGTCATTTTGGGTACCCATTTTCAAATGTCTAAAGTACAAACTAGCTTGTTTGACTGAGTTCTGAAGCTGAAAGAAAATGTAATTTGAAGAGATTGCATATTTTCCAAAGCCAATTTGGTGATTTCAGCATGGAAGTATTACAGTGAAATGTTTGCAGACTTATCTGTGCGTGCTGTGCTGTAAGCCGATACCATGAAGCAACACATCTTTTGGAGATGAGGTAGCAGTCTCCGCCCCCAGGGAAAGGGAGCAAGGCATCAGTCCGAGTCAACTACTTTGGACAACCGCACTACATGAGCAGACCAAAAGGAAGTCGTTTCCAATCAGCTTCAAAATCCACACTGTAGTAGCAACAACATGATTCTCCAAGGGCAGGGGAGGGGATGGGGAAATATTTGTGTGATGCGGTCTCTATGGGTAATGCAGAGACTCTGGGCCAAAATGAGATCAACGTGACTCCTAAGCCATGTGTCAGTGTCAAACCACTGTTTTAATTAAAACAAAACAAAACAAAAAAACCTCTCAAAGGCTGCTCTTGCCTTTTGGGTCCAACCCAAACTGCTCTGAGTGGCGTTCCTGGCATTACCTAGCCTCTGGCTGCCTCTTCAGCTTCGCTTCCTTCTCATCAGCTCCACCCAAAGACTCCCATCTTCCAGATTCCTGGTTCATTTCTCTCCCCACCTGCAGGATAAGTCTTCCAGTTTGTGTGCCACGCCAAAGCAGAAGACAGGCAAATCTTGTGCATCCTTTACATAATGTAATTAACGACTTGATCGATGACAATATTTTAGTGTGCATTCACCTGCTACTGTATTTCTTAGAGGTATGTCGTTTTGGCTAATCGTAGGTAATTGAATGAAATAACTGGAGTTCATCTTCTATCTTCATTCCTCTAGATTTAAAAAATAGGCAGATGTTATCTTTGTGTGTGTGTATGTGTGTGTGTGCATGCACACACATGTGTGCACTCATGCCTCTTTGTATGCGTGTCTATGTGTGCATGCCTGTGCATGTAGACTGGAAGTCAGTCTCAGATGTATTCCTCAATTACTTTTTACCTTACTTTTGAGACAAGGTTTCTCACTGAACCTGGAGCCAGATTGCTAGACCAGGCCTCAGATTCACAGACATTCACCTGCCTTTGTCTCTTGAGAATTAAAGGTGTGGGCCGCCATACCCAGGCTTCCTGGCTGGCTTTTTTACGTGCCTTCTGGGGGACTGAACTTGGGTCTTCATGCTTGCTTGTTCTGCAGCTGCTTTCACTGAGCCATCTGCCTGGCACTTGTCATCTTGAAAAGACGCGGTGTCATCATGCGCACTTGTAATCCCAGCATTCGGAAGACTGAGACAATAGGACGGCGAGTTCCAGGTCAGCATAGTGAAACCTTGCTCTTCAAGGCAGCACCCTTAAAATGTCCGAGAAGCACTCAAGAGTTAGTAAGATCAGCAACCTCTGAGTTAGAGGCCAGCCTGGTCTACAGAGTAAGTTCCAGGACATCCAGGGCTACACAGAGAAACCTTATCTCAAAACGAAACAAAAACAAAAAACAGAAAACAAAACCACACTCAATTAATAAAATGTAATTTTTAAAATGTCTGACCAGAAGTTTAGGCTTCTCTTTGAGGTAGGTCTGTATTATGGCCATGCTTCCACCATGGAAGGTTGTCCTAGCAAGATGGACGGCAGGGAAAATCTACCCAGAGGGCAGGTGGACTGGAGGCCTCTGGAAGCCAGGGAAGTTGAATTCCTTAGTGGGGGATGTCACACACACTGACAGCCAGGTGAGTTGGAATCGAAGAGCCCTATTGAAAACAGATTCGATGACTTTTAATATCATTCATTACAAAACAATTATATAATCTTGTCTTTTCCTAATGATGACAGAGGAAAATGCTAGAATGTATCCACTCCTTGAAACAGTGGACAGTGTGCCTATGGAGCTATTTCCTTACCTCAGAGAGACATTAAGACCCTAGAACATGCCAACTACAGTGGCATGTGCCTGCAGCCCCACTGCTGGGGAGGTTGAGGCAGGAATTCAAGACTAGCCTGGGCAGCACAGTAAGGGCACACCTCAGGAAGGAGGGACGAGAGAGAGGGAGAAGGAAGGAGCAAGACTAGAACTAAGATGTTTCCCTTTGGTTGGTCTGTCCGTTTTTGGTTTTGGCTTGTTTGTTTGGGTTTTGTCTTTGTTTGTTTGGTCCAGGTGTTTTGTGGGGAGGGGTGTTTTGCCTGTTTGTTGTAGCACAGGCTGGCTCGCTGCTCACTACATACCCGTGGACATACATGACGGTGGCCTGGACAGTCCTCCTGCTTTAGCCTCCCCTGCTGGGACTACAGGCATGACGCACCCACTACACCCAGCTTCGGATTTTTCAAGAATAGTTTTCAGTATGAAAGGCTCAGTGGCTGTTCCTTTTTTATGACTTGTTCTTGCGGCTTTAAAATCCTACCCGCTGAATTGGTTTGGACCTTATTGAAAAAGGAATCTACAAATAGATATCAAAACACACGTTCTACCCTGTAATTCCACTCTAGGAACCTAAGACTAAGGAAACAATAGAGAGATGCATAAAACCTACCCAAGATTATTCAGCCCGATGCTACATAGGAGAATGAGCTGAAAAAAAGCATAAAAATGCACAAAAAGAGATTGGTTTAAAAATAATTGGTATAGTCATATGATAAACTATTATGCAACCATGGAAAATCGTGTTCCCAAAACTTTTATTTTTTTTCTTCAGATGTTTTTATATTTAAAAAACATGAAAATTCCCCCTCCCTCCTTCTCATCTTTCCCTGGGGGAAAATAGCCACCGTGAACTTGGCATGCAATCTTCCTGTGCAGGTTTTCATGTTTCATGTTATTCAGTGACAGAAAAAGAAATGCATTTATAATATGAATATGTGAAAAAAATGTGAAGAAAGAAAAAAATATGTGTGAGGAATAATCCCAAGCCCCACCATAGAGCAAATACACTTTCCTGTTCGTGCATTCAAAACGATATTTACAAAGAATGTGAGATTCTCACTGCTGTTCCCAGAGCGTGTAATCAGTCGAGGAGGTAAAAACAACCAAAAAGGATGCCAAGGAAGCACGTTGTTTGTATTGCTCAATGATCTTGTGTGAGACTATGCTTATGAACGCAGGTGCTTGAGAAGGCCGATCCCCCTGGAGCTGGAGTGGTAAGTGGTTGTGAGCCACCTGAGTCCTCTGGGAGGGCGGTACGTGCTCTTCCACTGCGCCATCTCTCCGGTCCTGTACGCATCTTTTATAAACAATGTACAAAGGACCAGATGGAGTGAGGCCCGCATGCTTGTGATCTCTGAGTTCTGGAAGTAGAGGTCGGAGGATCAGAAGTTCAAGGCCATCCTTAGCTAGCAAGTCAGAGGCTTGCCTAGGCTGCCTAAGATCCCGTCTCAAGACCAAAACAAACATGGCACAACACGAGGGGTAGGGGTAAAAAATCGCTTCTTAGAGTGGCTTTTTAATGCCTCAGGTACCTTTCAAAGTGATTCTCCGGCTTCACTGAAAATGGTCAAACAGAGATCTTTCTTAAAGTTCCTTCCCACTGGATACTAGGACAGCAGGCATTGTTGGGTCGTGTGTTAGGGTCCTCAGCGGCAGATGTCTGAGAAGAGCATTGGCAACACAGACGAAGTGTGATGGTTCGAATGGGAACTTTCCACCATAGTCTGGGGCGTTTGAGTGCTTGGCCCCTGGTTCGTGGCACTGTTTGGGGTGTTTAGGAGGCGTGGTCTTGCTGGAGAAAGTGTGTCACTGGAGGCGGGTTTTGAGAGTTAAAAGACTTGAGATAGTTTGTTCTCTCTGTTTCACGCTGGCTGTTCAAAATGTGAGGGGCAACTTCTGCCCCAGCCACCATGCCTGCTGTCTGTACCCTCTGCTCCACCATCACGGATTCTAACCCTCTGGAGCTGTAAGTACAAATAAACTCTCTCTTCTCAAAATTGTCTTGGTCTTGGTGCTTTATCACAGCAATAGGAAAGTAGCTAACGTGGGCTTGAGAGACGGCTCAGGGGTTTACAGCACTTGCTGCTGCTGCAGAGGGCCCAAATCCAAGTCCCTGAACCACATAGTTACTCATAGCTCCAGTTTTAGGGGATCTGGAGTCCTCTTCTAGCCTCTAGGGGCACCAGGTACACACACAGTACATAGATATACATATGAGCAAAGCACTCATACATGTAAAATGTAAAAAAAAAAAAAATTAAAGTAATTTTAAAAAGAAGACTACCCAAAAGTTGGAGACAGTAAAAACTGGTCTCCATTATCCCATGGAAGGCCCTATACTGGGCCATTCTTATGCTACCATGAGGTGTGGGGCAGGTTTTAAGTCACCTGCCCACAGCATCCTGATTGCATCCAGTAAAGCGCAGTCTACCTGGTAGACACTGCCCTCCGCATCAGTCAGTAGGTCCCAGCTGAATCATCACTGAGGAAGTGACGTGTTGGCTCCGGAGCAGGCAGGGTTTGTAAACTCTTGCTGCAAAAAGCCAGGTGATAAACATTTTATTGTGGCAGCCATAGACATCTCTATAGAACTTGCTCAATGCAAAATGCGGGCCAGTGAGATGACTCAGTAGCAAAAAGAAACAACCCGGGTTCAACCCCCAGACATAAAACACCCAGATGCAATGGTGTGCTCCTGTAATCCCTGCATGCCTATGGCAAGATGGGAGGTAGGTGGAGACAGGAGCATCACCTAGAACCTTGCTGACTGGCGAGCTTGGAGTACACAGCATGGCAGAAACAAGAGAGACCCTGCCCTAAAACAAAGAGTAAGAGAACTAACCTCCCCAAAATGTTCCTTGACCGCTACACAGATATTGTGATCCACAAACACAGAAGAATAATAAATTTAAATTTTATTTTTTTAAATGCTAAAGTAGTTGTATGAATGGGTGTTTGTTGTGTGCTAATAAAGTTTTTTCTTTTCTTAAGAGACAAGGGATGGGGCTGAAGAGATGGTTCAGAGGTTAAGAGCACTGGCTGCTCTTCCAGAGGTCCTGAGTTCAGTTCCCAGTAACTACATGGTGGCTCATAACTATCTATAATGAGACTTGGTGCCCTCTGTATACATAATAAATAAATCTTTAAAGAAATAAAAAGGTATTAGCTGGGCATGGTGGCATGTACCTTTAATCCCAGCATTCAGGAGGCAGAGGCAGGTGGATCTCTGTGAGTATGAGGTCAACCTGGTCTACAAAGTGAGTTCCAGGACAGTCAGGGTTGTTACATAGAGAAATTCTGTCAGGGGGAGGGAATAGATAAAAAGAAAAGAAAAAAAAGATATTGGAAATTGAATCTAGGGCCTCATGCATGCTAGGCAGATACTCTACCACTGAAATACATCGCTAGCCCACTGATAAAATTCTTCACACAAGCAAACAATCGACAACTGGTTCCCTGGGTATTATGTCAGCCTGCACTAACCACAAGGCACCAAAACAGAGAAGATCAATAAGGTTCAGTTAATCATTCTCCCCCCAACACCTGCAAAATCAGAAACCAGTTAATAGTTGAAGGAAAGAATTCAATATAATTATTAAAGGAACCAGTATTTATTGAGGGCTTACTGTGCTAGATGCTATTCTAAGAGAGATAATTTAGTGCTGGGCACGTAGCCAGGGAGTAGAGAACCCACCTAGCACAGGTGAAGTTCTAGCTTCCAGCCCCACATAAAGAAGGCAGGGTGGTGCACACCTACACTCTCAGCCTTTGGGATGTGGGAGCAAGAGGATGAGAAATCAAAGGTCTTGACTATAGCAAAACCCAGGATACAAAAGACCTAAGGAGACAGCAGTCAGGGGAGGGAGAAGGGAGAAGAAAAGAAGAGGAGGGAGCCCAAGTGAGGAAGAGGAAACAGATTTATCATCTCATATAACTCAGGGGTTTCCCATGACTGGCCTTTCGGTAGTTCAGAAGTTCATTCAAGCACTCAGGTTTATAGGCTTGTTTTTTCTTAAGCCTCTATCTCCCTTTGTTCACCCGCCTGCTCCCCCAAATTCTCTCCATGACCCCAGGCTGGTGCCTCAAGCGCCAAACCTCACATCCCAACCACCATCCTCAGAAGGAACATAGCCCCATCTCTGCTGTCTATCCTTTTATTGTTTGTTTTGTTTTGTTTGGGGGGGCTATTCAGCTTTGTTTGGGGACAGGGACTCAGACTGCAGGCTAGCCTCAAGCAAACTTGCTACTACCAGGGATGGCCTCTACCAGAACAACTTCCCGTAGGCTTGTTTCCTTTGTTTCCTTTCACAAGTACCTGATGTGTCCCAACTTAAACTAAGCACTAGAAATGGTGAGAGAGGGCCTGGAGATTAGGAAGAGGTGCCAGGTTCCATGCCCAAGGTTGACGGTGGGCTTGATAGTGACGTAGCACTTGGGGATGGAGGCAGGACAATCACACTTAGAAAGGCAAAGTTATCTTTAAGGTTAGCCTGGGCTATGTGAGACCTCATGTCCAAATGAATGAATGAATGGATGAATGATAAACAAATATATAACCCTCTCTAAATATGACCAGGGGTAGGTGTTGGGTTGAGTTTCTAAGATTAACTGACATGTTGATCTGACTATCTGAATGAAACCAGAGTCTGTTAGAAAGCAGAGGATGTAAGAATGGATACTGGATAAGTTATGATATTAGTCTCCACATTTCACAGTGAGCAAATAAAATTTGGAAAAGGGGAAATGATTTGCCCAGAGTCACCCACTAGCACGTGGAAGAGACTGGATGCGGACTCAGTTCTGTGACTATAGTGCCCAAGACCTAGGTCACTGCATTAATGTAGTGTCTATAATGGGGCAACAGAGACTGTTTGGAAAAAAGGAGGTACTCCAAACTTGCCTTAACATCAAGTCAAATGAAGCCAGTCAAATGTGAACTGATCTCCCCAACAGGGCATACCGCTGAGCTTAGCTTTGCAATAAGTACACCCATAATTCGGTGAGTAAAGCCACAGCCATTTATTTAGCTTGCAATTAGATGGTTCAGCGACTTGGGCCGAGCTACCCATCTCAGCTGGACACACTCAGATTGCTCCGGTCAACTGAAAGGTCAACTGGGGACTACCTGGCCTAAGAGGGACTCAGTTGGAATGGTTTGCCTGTTCTTCTAAAGAGTCCCTCATCTTCTAACAGGCTAGCCTGGGCTTGCTCACATGCAGGCTGGGCAGGATACCAAGACTAGAGGGGGAAAAATACACATGACCTCTTGAGACCTAGCTAGGATCTATGAAGAATGACTTTTTGAATAAGAATTCAACTGAATAAGAACTCTTGTCCTTTCCCCTCCCTCTGAGATAGACAGATGCCCTGATGCACTAGTGTGCAGTAAAGCGCCTGCTCCCTTGATGGCTAGGAAGACGTCTCAGTGGCTGAAAGTGTTTGTCACATGAGCGTGAAGACCAGAGTTCAGATCCTCAGCAATCATACAAAAAGTTGGGTATGTGTGGGGGCCCACCTTTACCCCAACACTGGGAAGTGGAGATACCAGATCCCCAGGCCAAGTTGATGAAGCCATCAGTGAGCTCCCAGGTTCAGGGAGAGACCCTACTTCAGCAAATAGAGATATATCCGGGAAGGTATCTAAAGCTAGCCTCTGGCACGTATGTGCACACCCACACATATGCCTACGTATGTACAATGTTATACACACTTGCACACACTACACACGAATTAAAAAAGAAGAAAACAAAACATTCGCACGTATACAGTTTAAGGGTTATTCATCGGGCCAATCTAATTCACGGTCAGCATCACCTCGGCTCCTCCTAGAAGACAAGCATAGTTAGCCAGAGCTGCCGCTGAGACCAAGCTGTGGTAGGGTATGGTTTCAATCCAGAGAGTTACAAAAACAGCACCATGACAAGCAGATTGTGGCTGGGTTAAGGCCACCAGAGGAGAGCATCTAAAAGCCAAATATTTAGGACCAAAGACAAAATTCCACCCACTCTATTTGTGCCCTGCCTCAAAACATACTCCATACGGCAACCGATCAGGGCATCCTTCCTGCTATGCTGGCAAAATAAACATAAGGTCTATATTCATTCAACAAGCAGTTATTGGCCAAACCCCATAGTAGGCACTGCTCTCAGAGAGGACCCATATTTGGTTCCCAGTGCCCACCCTGGGAAGATCAAAACAGTCTGTAACTCCAGCTCTAGGGAAATCTGATGACCTCTTCTGGTCTCCAAGAAGAGGAGACCTCTTCTGGTGCACTCATGTGCACAAACCCACATACAAACACACACATAAACACAGAGCTAAAAATAAAAATAAAGCCAGAACTCTGAGGCAAAGGCAGGTGGATACCTGTGAGTTTGAGAACAGCCTGGTCTACACAGTGAGTTCCAGGTCAGCCAAGGCTTCACAGTCAAACTCTATTCAAAATATAAATCAATTAGTAAAATAAATCTTTTAAAATTATATGTATTCTAATAAACCTGAAGGAAAAAAAAAAAACAAACCTGGCCAGTCTTTTCCCTGAATCCGTCTGAGCTCATCAGAGCTCTCACTCACACTTGGCATCTCTTTATTTAGATGTTTAGAACACTCTGGAGCTGATGGCTAAGGAAAGGCAACGAGCGCAGCTGGGCTGCATCCCCTCCGACAAGCCCATTCAGAAAGTGACAAACCCGTAGAGCCAAGCTTGTACCGTGAAGCCTGGCCCCTAGCATTTCTGAACGTGGCATCTGGTTCCTGTGAAGTCTCATAACAAATGAGAGCTGCCAACATAAGCAACTCCTTCCAAATACAGGTGAAATAATAGTCTTGCTGAGCAAACCCTCACCGCAGGAAACATACAGAGTTAGTTCAGCCAGCGCTCTCAAAGAGCACGCTCTGTAGGACCAAAGCCACAGAAAGTCATCCAGCCAGTCAAGAATGTGGAGGGAACTCCCCTCCTGCTGAGTTGAGCAGGGGAGGACCCCATGTTTCTGAATAAACTAAAGTGACTGCCCACCCCACGGGCTGAGTACCCAAAGAAGGAGAGGTTCTTAAGTTTCCCTTGGCTTGCTCTTTGGAAGAGGCACATGTAAAGAATATGCATGGCTATGAATGCAGAAAATATATAAAATGTAGAAATTGGAGAGATGGCTCAACAGTTAAGAGTACCTACGTGACAGCTGACAACCGGTTCTAGAGCATCAGACACCCTCCTCTGGCCTGTGCAGGGACCAGGCATGCAGGAGGTGCACAGACATACATGCAGGGAAACCCACACACACATACATACATACATACATACATGCATACATACATATGTACATACATGAAATAATACAACGTAAAATGAGGAACTATCAGCTGCATTGGTCAGTGCTCACTGTGAATTCTTTTGTTGAAAAGAACAGTATCTAATATGCCATCTAAGTTGGGCAGTGGTGGCACATGCCTTTAATCCCAGCACTTGGGAGGCAGAGACAGGTGGATCTCTGTGAGTTCGAGGCCAGTCTGGTCTACAGAGTGAGTTCCAGGAAG